TGCCACCTAATCAAGGAATGACTCTTAGTCATTACTTTATAAGGTGGTTAGCTGCCACGTTTTGGGGGTAGGAGGATTTTGATCTTTATCCAACAATTAATTAATTTACTAGATAATATCCCGCTACCTGATAATTAACCAATTACCCGCATAATTAAGAATTGGCTCAAATTACTTAAAATTCTACTTATTTTTAATACACTTTATATATCCTACTATCATGGTCATATGGTACCTTGTATGGTACTAATCCATAAATATTGGGTATTAGCGCTTGGCCCAAATTTTATCCCAATATGCCAAACTTGGACAAAAATTCATTTTCTTTGACTTGCTTCCCCTTTCATATTCACAAATTTACTCACCACTTATTTGAAATAGCATAATCCTTATAATTTTCAAATAATCTTTTCCTTGGACTGATGTTAATTACCTTACGACAAATTCAACGTACAATATTACAAGGTGCAACATCATCGTAATTTAATACCGTGGGACGTAATATCGACATAATATTGCGGAGCGTAACATAAAGCTTCTTGCACTGGGTCCATATAATTTGGAGGAATAGGTGCAATCATGTCATAATACTTTAATTTCTCAAACAAGCTTGCATAGGACTCTCCTATTGGTATAAAATTATCTTTCAACCTTTGTTCCCCTTTATACCCCTGGCTTGGATGTAAGTTATAGGGCACTTAAAAATTTTGTGGAGGCTGGTGGAGATTTTGTGATGCTCGTGCTCGCCTTCTAGGGTGTTTTGGTGGTTGGACAATATACTAAGGTGGAGCAACAGAGTATTGTACTTTCTGAGGTGGATAGTAGTGCTCAGGGGAATCATCGGAAACCTAATGAGGCTGCTCATACCTTCGAGATGTTCTCCTGGGACCTCTTCTCGACCCTGATATCATCATGCTTTCTTCATCCTTCTCATTCGTGTCACTAAAATTATCAGATTCAATTTGGACAGTTTGAGTTGCGACTTTGAGAACTATTTGACTTATAATTCTGCCTGTCTTAAGGCCATCTCAACCATTTCCCTAATTTTGATAGCTTCCGAGAAGGATTTGCCCACTGTGGGCATCATATTTTAAAAATAATCTGGCTTTTGAGCCTGAAGGAAGACAATGATTAGCTCGTGTTCATCCATGGGTGGCTTAACTCTAGCTGCTTACTCTCTCCATCTAATGACATATTCCCTAAAACTTTCAGTTGGTTTCTTCTTAAGGTTTGAAAGGGAATTGCGATCTAGGTCAATGTCGATGTTATATTGGAATTGCTTGGCAAAGGCCCGGGCCATGTCATCCCAGACATGCCAGTGAGGTGTCTTGATCAATAAACCATTCAGAGACTAACCCCGTAAGGCTTTCCTCAAAATAAGCCATTAGTAATTCTTCATTTCCTCCCGCACCTCTTAGTTGATTGCAATACTTTTCAAATGGGCTATGGGGTCTCCATGTCCATCATACTTTTCAAATTTGGGATTCTTGAAATCAAATGGCGAACGAACATCGGGGAACATACATAGATCCTTGAAGGCAATACTCTTCTGACCTGCTAACCCTTGCATGTTTTTCAACTATTGTTCTAAGCTTTTTACTCTTTGGGTCATTTCTTCCTATACCATATTTCGGCAGACTTCTCAATCTTTGCAGGAAGATCAAATAGGCAGGAGTGGTACTCAGGAGAGTGGCACTATTCTTGCTGGGTAGCAAATTGTGACTCATGTGCTTTCCTCTACACAACTATCGGCTGTGGGATGGTGAAGACGGGCATAACAACAGTGGTTGTCTGACTGGTTGTCAATGGCATACTTTGGGAGCGCGCAATAGAAGTTCCAACTATAGTCGCATAGTTTGGATAAAGACTGAACCCAGATGGATAGGATTGATCAGACAAGGAAACCGGAGCAGTAGTAGTTGAAATAGGTGTGAACTCTGGAAAATCATGAATAGAAAGGGGTAGTCTTTGACCATTGGCCCATGCTTGACACATTTCAGTCATTTGCTGCTTCAGTACTCTATTTTCCTCAACCACAGTTGACTCTTGTTGAACCCTCTGACCCCGAATCTCTTGACCGCTCGTAACAGCTTCAATGTCAGTTGTCATTGACATTTTTCTCTTAGACCTTGTGAATTATGGATGTGTTGCAGCTTACCACAAACCGACCACCTCAAACTTTCTTCATAATTCAAAACAAACAACATTTTAGAATGGTCACTCTCTTATTTTTTTAAGCACTTCTCTTCCTTCTCTCTCTCTCTCTCTCTTTTAAATGATTCGATCGAATCTGATGTAGGTTTCCTACGTATCATGTGGGAATATGAATCAGATCTTGCGTAGCTCGGAAAGATCAGAAATAAGTAAATAACCTTTTTTTAATTTTGCGTTTTCTTTGTCTTTTCTAATTTTTGAAAGAAAGACTTATAAAGAAGAAAGAAAATATTTTTGGATTTTTTATTTTAGTTTTTTTTTTTCAAAATATTTGAAATAAATACTTCTAAAGAAGAAAGAAAATATTTTTTTGGATTTTTGATTTTTTTAAATTTTTGGGAAAAAGACTTCTAAAAAGGTAGAAAATATTTTTTGGATTTTGATTTGATTTTCTTTTCAAATGAAAGACTTCTAAAATGAAAGAAAATATTTTTGGTTTTAAAATTTTTTTATTCGGGATTTTCTAAAGAAGGAATTAAATGATTTTCTTTTTGGATTTTTGAAAATTGGGGGCCGGAACCGATGAGGTTTGCCTACGTATCTCACATCCGGTGTGAATCGGACCCGCATAATTCGGCCAATTTTGACATAACTCGAAAAATGTGGTATTGACTCATTTTGAAATGACTCTTTTCATTTTCAATTTTCAACATTTTTCTCTTCTTCTTTTTTTGAAAAATTTCGGCAGAGTTTCAGGATATTCTCAAATACCGGGATTTTCGAACCAGGCTTAATTTCTCTCCTGCCTCACTCTTGGTTTTTCTCTTAATTTTCTTTTCCTAGCCGAACAACATGCAAGCCGAAGCAAATAAAGGTACAAATAGCATGTAAGATGCATCAGGATGGTCTTTTATTTCGGGTACACCTGTCCTAGACAGACCCAAATCATGTGTTGAGTCCCCAAAGTCAAATGCACATGATCCAAACAAACGTTCCTACTAGGGATCCGACATGAGGCTATGTTATTCTAGGTTTAAACCTGGGTGTGTGTATTAGACATGGCTTACCCAAGCGAACAACTTGAATCGAGATGGGAGCGACGTATCGAGAGCACGGAAGTCTACCCAGCCTAGTGGCTGATCTATCCTAGTTCTATTTGAAACGAACTCTAACAGAAAAGTGGGCCATGCATATGGGTGCACCATTTTTTAGAAGACTCAGAAGGGAAGCGTAAGAAGACAGTTTAATACACTTCAAATAATATCAAAGCGGTAAATAAGCAGCAATTAGCACATTCAGCCGATAAACACAATAATATCAACAAACAATAAAGCCAAGTACATAATACATTACAAGCTCGAATTCTGAACCCTAAACCAGAGATTCTGAATTCTTGTCCCCAACAGAGTCGCCAAAGCTGTCACTAGGGTTGGGCATAATTTGGTAAATACCGAATTACCATACCGAAACCGAAAATTTTGGTATTTGGTATACGGTATTTTGGTATTTGGTATGGTATTTCTTTCTTGAGCCGAGGGTCTCCTGGAAACAGCCTCTCTGCCCCTCAGGGTAGGGGTAAGGACTGCGTACATATTGCCCTCCCCAGATCCTACTTGTGGGATTATACTAGGATGTTGTTGTTGTTGTTGGTATGGTATTTAGTTTAAGTTTTAAAAAAAATTGGTATTAGGTATGGTATTTGGTATTTTAAGATAAAATACCGAAATACTGATACCGTACCAAAATATATATTATATTATACAAAACACATATTATCAATTATAACATAAATAAAAAAAATCTAAAATTTTACTTTTCTTTATTCTCAAAGTTCATCAATTAACTCTAAACAAGTAACAAGACATTTCTAATGATAAAATATTCTTTTATGTACATTTTTCTCTATTTGGGTCGATATTTGCTAATTTTGGACAAATTTTTTGTCAACAAACATTTTTAGTTTTATATTTTTGACTACTTTAATTAAGAATATTAGAGTGTATGACTCTATGTATTAGTTAGTATTCAAACCGAATAAACCGAAGTTACCGAACCAAATAAACCAAAACCGAAAGGAGAAAAACCGAACCATACTGAATTTAATTAGGTACGATATTGGTATAGGATTTTGAGAAATCGAATACAAAAAATACTGAACCGAAATGTCTAAATATCGTACCATACCGACCGACGAACACCCCTAGCTGTCATACTTCCTTTTTCCCGAGGGGATAGGAAGTTTTTTTAATTAAAGTGACATTATTCGAAATGAGATTATTTAATTAATTTCAGAGTCGCCACTTGGGATAATTATGGTGTCCCAAGTCATTGGTTTATTTTAAATCCCAAATCGAGGAAATTTGACTCTATTTTAAAGTCCGCGAACATAGAAGACCATGTAAGAAATTCTGTTAACCTGGGAGAAGGTATTAGGTATTTTCGAGTTTCGTGATTTTAGTATGGTGACTTTTAATCATACCTGGCTTAATTAAATTATTTAATTACGTATTTTAGAACCTATGTGTATTTTTTCTTTTACCGTTTTAAAAAAAAACTTGATTACTCGTTATTATGGAATTATCTCGAAACGAGTCACGCGTACGTGTACTCATTTCGTTTGGCGCATCAAGAATCATGTCACGCATACGTCTACACAATTAATAACACTTTATTATTATTAAGAAAATCTTGGCCAAAGTCGCGTGAATGCGTACTTCGATTTTTTTTGAAAATCGTAATTATGTCACGCGAACGTGTACACAATCACGACGATTTAAAACGCGATCTCACTATTCTCAGAAGGAATCCACCAATAACCAATTTCAACAAGTCAAAATCAACAATTATAAAACCTCATATAAAACGAATTACACGTATATATATGGTTATAAATCATAATTAGCCAATATAGCAATTTGAAAAACCAAATGCTTAGGAGATAACAAACATGAACAATACCTAAAAAGTTGTCTCTCTATTTACACTCTTGGTTGAGTTTTTGGCAGAACCCTGTGCACAAGAGTAAGAAAAAGATGAACGCATTGCAAATTCTAAAATCTTCAAATGCCCCGTTATTAGAAAATGAGTTAATAAAAGAGCACTAAAGTGTCTCACCAGAAATGAAACGATTATGGAATAATATAAGCTAACAAAAAACACAAACAGAAAAGGTTTCTCTCATGAACAAACAAATGAGGCGAAATGAATAAGGCATTAAAAATACTCGAATTCCATAACTCAAAACCCAAGAATCATGTATTCATAAACAAAACACCATAACAAAGCGAAAAATAGAAAAGCCGACCTTCAATACAAGAGCGTGGCTTTGTATCTTTGAAACTCAACAACGAACCAAAATGCGGACCCCGAACGGAATAGAACAGAACTAATTGACCATGACCTCGACTGCGACCACGAATCAAAATCCAGGCAAAACGGACATGGCGGTTAAAATAAAAAAAAAGAATTCGTTGCTTCAACCTCTTTTCTCGTGGTAGGTAGGAGAGGGTACCAAGTCGACCAGATTTGGACGACCGTTTCAGGTGTAAAAGAGGTCGTTTCACTGGAGGTTTGTGGCTAGATTTCGAGCTATTTCGCAGTTGGTTTTGTTCAAGTTTGCAAGGCAGCACTTTCAGGGTAGTTTGGAGAGTTCATGGCTGCATTTTCATGGCGAAAAGGTGGCTGTTTTTCACCAGTTTCGCAGCTTTTTTGGACTGAATTTTTGGCTGCATTTTTAAGATGATCTCAACTGGTTTTCATGACTTTTGGAGCTCTTTTGGACTGTTTTTATGTTGTTTTATAGCTGGGTTTAAATGGAGAAAACTGCTGGAATTTAGGCATTAATTTCGTCGTGTTTTTGGAGGAGAAAGAAGCTGATATTTGAGAGGTTGTTCAGCTGATATTTGAGAGGTTTTTCAGCTGGGATTTGGGCAGCTTAGGGTAGCATTTTCAGGTGTGTTTATGGTGATTGAGAGTGTTTTCAGATCTGGAACAAGGTACTTTGGGGAAGAACGATTTTGGAAGCTTTTAAGGTGACGAAAATGGTCTTTTACAGAGGTGAAGCTGGTTTGTTTCCATGGAGGAAAGGGAGGAGCTATGCTTGTTATTGGAAAAATGTTGCCCTTTCTGTTATCGTGTGTGTTTTTTTCTGTTTTTTCCTTTTTCACGCTGCTGCGCAACTTTTTCTTCTTTTAGCACTAGGATTTTTTTTTAAAAGGGAAGGGATCCAAATATATAAATATAGTAAAGAAATTTTCTTGGCAAAGAAGAATTGCGACCAGAGTGATAAGGACAGGTGTTATGGGTAAGCTTCCAGGAAAGTGCATTGTTGGGAATATTCTAGAATTATGCTATTGTGTGTAGATTGTGTTGTGATTGGAAGAAATACAAATAATAAAAAATAAATTAGTATTGGTGAGTGAAGTAAGATTAGTGCATGTGAGTTCAAAGTTAGTTATTTTTTGGATAAATTGGAATCTTTAACAAGTGATCATTCTTGTTTTTGACTTTCTTTTAAAAGGATAATAAAATACTACTCTACCTATATTAAAAATACCAAGATACAAATACTAAAAGAATTATAAAATCATCAGCTTAATAATAAATATTTTTTTGTATATTTTCTCTTTCTTACAGAAATGGAAACAAAATTAATATTCTAAATACAAACTTATAAAAAGTGAAACAAAGCTAAAAATATCAAAATTAAACTTAAAAATTATTTTAATGTTAAAAGTGGTGAAAATTTTGAGTATGGTCAAAAATTAGGTGCTAACAATGCCAGCTACAAAATAAGTAATTTTTTTATTATTTCTATAATTTCTTGCTTCAAATTTCAATATTTTTGATTATTTTCTTCTTTACTTGTCAGTTTGGACAATGAATCACATCGGTTTTATTTTTCTCTTTTGCTTTATAAAAGAAATAGTTGGACAGTCTCTTATGTCAAGTTTAAATATAGACTAGTAGTATAATTTTATATTTAAGATTTTCATAAATGGGAAGTTTAACACCATAGATGAATCTTTATAAAATTATGTGTAAAATAACTATTTAGTGTGACATATTTTATATATTTATTTATAGTTCAAAGAAAGTAACTCTAGGCTTATTTGAACAAAAAGAGTTTGCCCCAAGCTTAACTTCCTTCTATACAGCTCTATGAAAAGCAAACAAATTTATTTCTTGTCACATTTCTCAATGGAAGTATATTTTCAGGCCTTCTCTTTCTGTAATTTGTAGTTTAAATCTTGTTAGAGATTCTATTTCATTTCATATTGTCTGAACGAAAAAGAAGACCTATCATGATTGAAAAAGAATAGACATATATTTCTGAATCCATTTGAGACTTCTATAAAACTTATATATAATACACATATATTTCTGAATCCATTTTGTCTACTCATAACCCGACAGGCCCATAACAACTAAATTGTGGATAAGTAATCGAAGAAAAAAAAAGCATTTGTGAAAAGGAGCAGCAATAATAACAACACAATATAATTCCATAAGTAGGGTCTAGATAGGTAGTGTATACATAGACCTTACCTCTATCCTGGGGGTAGAGAGGTTGTTTCCGAAGATGAAACTCAAGAAGACAATAGAACAGTTACAACAACAGAGGCCAGAAAGATAATATCAGCAACCTAAGAATTAGAAAAATAAATAGAAAAATAATATCAATAATCGGTAAAAATAGCAATGTACTAGGAAATCAGAGCCAAAAAATAGTAACAAAATATGTACCTCTAGCATTCTAAGACAGGACACCATCAGATGATCCTTACACCTAGTACGGAGTAAAAAAATGCTCAATTGGCTATTAACCTTCAACCCTAATGCTCGACCTCCATACCTTCCTAGGGTCATGTCCTCGGTAAGCTCAAGCCGCATCATGTCCTGCCTGATCACCTCTCCCCTATACTTCTTAGGACGCCCTCTACCTCTTCCCATACCCTCCAAAGCCAACCGCTCACACTTACTTACCGGGGTATCCAAGCTTCTTCGTTGCACGTGCCCGAACCATCTAAGCCTCGCTTCCCATATTTTATTTTCCATAGAGCCACGTCCACCTTCACCCGAATATCTTCATTCATGCCACGATCCGAAATTCCCAGCGTCGGGATCGTGATGACACCTAACATCACACTTGTTAGGTAAGCCAACGTTAGAGATTTATTAGCCAAACCTTTTACATTTCAGTGATTAACCATAAGAAAGCTATACAAGTTAAATAAACACAGAAGTAAATAAATAACAACTTTTATTATATACTATCACTAGCCAGAATCCGAAGTCACAATTCACGAACAATCTAAGATTTTTACTACAAGTATTGGCCCGAAAGAAAATAAAACTGTTTGCGAAATAAAGAAAATAGTAAAGTATGAGTTATGGAAGGAGACGCCAGAGCTTACGGACGCCAAAAGGACTACCTTGGGTCTCCGATCAGACGAAGCAAGCAGCTAACTCAGAATCAACACGATCCAGTACCAAAATCTTTACAATGTGCAATATAGTATCAATACAACCGATCCCATGTACTAGTAAGTGCCGAGCCTAACCTCGGCGAAGTAGTGACGAGGCAAGGACAAGACAACAACATAAACCTGTGCGGTTAAACGATATACGAATAATAACAACTAATAGAAGCTAAACAGATAATACGGGAGGGGAAACATACTGAGGGAAGTACAAGATCATGAAAATAGTAACAGTAAAGAAACACATCAAAAAATATGCTCTGCACCAATGGAAGTATTAAACATAATAAAGACAAGTGCACGACATCATCCTTCATGCTTTTACTCTCATCCTTACCATAATAAATAAAAGAAACAGTGATAATGAATATGAAATGGCATGGCATCACCATTCGTGCTTTACACTCTTCCTCACATGATACAACAACAACAACAACCCAGTAAAATCCCACATAGTGGGGTTTGGGGAGGGTAATGTGTACGCAGACCTTACTCCTGCCCCAATAGGGCAGAGAGGCTGTTTCCGATAGACCGTCGGCTCTTCCTCACATGATAATGAATATAATATGGCACGACATCACCCTTCGTGCATTAACACTCTCCCTCACCAAAACAAAGAACAATAACAACAAGGAAATAGAATTATCAATAACAAGTCTCACTTCAATATTTAGTTTCACAATATAAACCTCATCTTTGAGTCAATATCAAATTCCGTAAAACATGATAATAGTTGCTCAACATAAAGAATAATTAGTCTAAGCATGAACAATATAATCAAAGAATACAACGATTACAAGAATAAGACTCACTCGCATGCTATGATTCGACAATAACGCATAGGTACTCATCACCTCACCTATATGTTATACTCAACATCCAAACACATAACAAATAGGCAATAAATACCTAATCCCTGAAGCCAAGGTTTGACATAATACATACCTCGCTCCGCGGGCCACTCAATGCCTAATTACCGTTTTCCCTCTAGTATTCACCTCCGAACCACTCGTATCTAGCCACAATTAACTCAATAAAATCAATTATATCCAAAGGAATTAACTACAATGCATAAATTTAGATTTTCCCAAAGACTCCCCCAAAAAGTCAAAAATTGACCCAAGACCCGCTTGGTCAAAACTCGAGGTTCGGACCAAAATTTATTTACCCAAACACCCCCGTGCCCGGATATACAATTGATTTTGAAATCCGACCTCAAATCGAGGTCTAAATCCCCAATTTGCAAAAATCGCCAATTCTTTCTAAATCTCTAGTTTTCTACCATGGAAGAACAAAGATTAGTGCTAAGAATTCAATGGGTGATGTTAGAAATGGAAGAAAATGAGTTAAAGAATGCAAACCTATGATTTGGTGTTGAATCTCCCCTTCAAAAATCATCCTAGGTCAAGTTCTAATGAAAGAGTTGTGAAATTTTTGAACAATCCCATTTCAGGTATGTTTTAATACACATGCGCCAGACCTTCTTCGCGTTCGCGAAGGGTCTAACGCGATCGCAGAACAGCGACTCTAATAGTTATCGCGTTCACGAGATACTCTTCACGTTCGTGAAAGCTTAGTCCTACTAGCCTTCGCGTTTGAGAGCCATGTGTCGCGTTCGCGAAGAGTATATCTTCCCTCTCCCAGGTCCCAATGCTCCGCGTTCGCGTTCGCGTGGAAAAAAAAATCACCCAGCTCTAGTTCACTCTTCACATTCGCAAGAGTAGCTTCACGAACGCGAAGAAGGAAATCAGAAGGACTGAAGCTAAAGGAAAACCAGATTATCCTAAGTCTAAAAGATCCCGAAGCCTATCCGAAACTCACCCCAGCCCTAGGGTCTCCAAACTAAACATGCACACAAGTCTTAAAACATCATACGAACTTGCTCGCGCGATCAAATTACCAAAATAACACCTAGAACTATGAATTTAGCACCAAATTGAATGAAATTTTCAAGAAAGTTTTAAAGCTTCTAACTTCACAACTGGACATCCGAATCACGTCAAACCAACTCTGTTTCTCACCAAATTTCACATACAAGTCTTAAGTATCATAATGAACCTGTACCGGGCTCCGGAACTAGAATACGGACCCGATACCATCAAGATAAAATATTAACCAAATTCTTAATACCATTAGATTTTTTAGTCTTTTAATTTTCAATAAAAATTCATATCTTGAGCTAGGGACCTCAGAATTCGATTTCGGGTATACGCCCAAGTTCCATATTTTGATACGGACCCACCGGGACTGTCAAAACATGAGTCCGTGTCCGTTTAACAAAAATGTTGATTGAATTCAACTAAAATAAACTTTTTGGGCAATAATTATTATTTTCATCAACTTTCAACATAAAAGCTTTTCGGAAACACGCCCGGACTGTGCATGCAAATCGAGGAGGGATAAAATGAGGTTTTGAAGGCCTAGGAATACATAATTTAGGTTTAAATCATAAGATGAACTTTTGGGTCATCATATTCTCCACCTCTAAAGCAACCGTTCATCCTCGAACGGACATAAAAAAGTACATGAGCTAGGAAAAAGGTGGGGATATCTACTCCGCATGTCGGACTCGGACTCTTAGGTAGCTGCCTCAACGGGTTGACCTTTCAACTGCACACAAACTGAAGGATAAATCTTTGATCTCAATTTACAAACCTGCCGGTCTAGAATAGCTACCAGCTCCTCCTCATAAGTCAAATCCTTGTCCAACTAG